TCTATGGTATTATTATTTTTTTTATTTCTCCTGCGGTTTCAGTTTCCTTGTATATTTTTCGAAATAAATTCTTTTCTTTTTCATTGTGTTCCTCGTTTTGCGTATATATATTTTAAGGCAGAATATATAAATGTTTGAATTTCAAATTGCCTCGAAAGCGATTGGAAGAAATTGAATATTGTATATGTATATTGGGAAGTGTTAGAAACAAACGTAATAAAATTGTATAGAAATTATTTAATATTATTAACTGATTAAATTGTTAACTTTCAGTCTTTAATTTGATTATAGTAAATTTTAAATCGATTTTGTTAATTTTTAATATTGTATATACATTCAAGTTTCTATTTATTTATTTACTTGTTATTCGATTTATTTAAGTAATGAACAAAATTATTCTTTATTCCATGAATGATTGGTCATATTATTATCGTATAATAGAGAGTGTAATTATTCGTTATTAATTGCTCATTCAAATTTTACAAATATTAGCTTTAGTGTTTCGAAGCATATCTGTGTAACTATCGAATTAGGGCAAAAGTTCAAGGCCGTTTCGGAACCATCCGCTTCGTTAGTCCGGTTCGATTTAATTTCTATTCCCAGTTTCTGAACAAAGTCAAGAGAAATATTGGGATGAGCTCTCTCGATTTGCAATTTTATTTATTACCTTGAACTCTATTCCAATATAGAACACAAAAATAATTTCTTTTATATCCTTGATTTATATTATTTTTAGAATGAATTATTTATATTTATATTTATATTTGATCAGAAGTTGAATAAATTTATTTACTATTTTTATCATGTAAAAATATGAAAAATGAGAAAATATAATTAATAATGTTTCGTTACAATTTTCCAATATTCTTGATAATTGTGAGTAAATTTAAAACGGACGCATTTAATTTATTAAAACTGTATCAATTTATTAAAAATGTATTAACATATAGCATTGGTATTTTTGATAATATTAAAGTAGAAAATTGGATGAAGGAAGAAAATTTTTTCGATTTATAAAATTTACATCGAAAAAACGTAAAATTACGTTAATATATCTCGAAAAGTTTATCTACAAAACCACTAAACCGAAATTAATTGTTGAAAATCTAATAATTCAATTAAATCTATTTATATCGTCGAAATTTACCTAACCAGTTAAATGCTCCGCTTAGATACAAATGGCTCTAGAATAAATGTAGAAACGACTACATCCGTGACATTCTCTGTTAATTTACGTCACGATGAATTTCCTGTTTGTTAATAATTAAACACATTCACTGTGTACGAGGCGAACAACATAAACTGATTTTCGAATAGATCCAGCTCAGCAAATTTAATTTTATCTCTTTGAAGATATTTCGGCGGCGACCATGTTTAAATTTAATATTAATTAAATACTGTTTCTTATAGGATTATTGTCTCTCAAATGTATCGAGTTCTTTGAAAAATATCTTCAAATTTGCATTCAATTTTCATTTGATTGAATAAGAATTTTCACAATAATTGTTTCATATTTTGTTCTTAAAAGAATATTATAATGTTATAAATTTAATTTTAAAAATATAGATTTTGAAGAATTAATTTATATATTTATTATTCATTTCAATCTTGAAGTTTTGTTTATTATTATAAGTTTAAGTAGATATAATCTAAGAAATAAAAGAAATACATTTTTTGTTTTGACTCTCTAAATTTCTGATAACATTAGATTTTCATGGATAGTTAATCACATTTAATAATACAAACAAAAGTAATTCTGAAATTAAATGTACTAATGAGTTAAGAAATTTATATTACAATTAAATTCAAATTTATTAAAATTAGAAAATTGAAAATTAAGACTAAAAACTTTTAATAGAAGCTAATATATATGATTAAATTCTTATTATATTATTATTATATTATAGAAAAATAATTAAGATTTATTCAAATACTTCCACTTTACCTTATATTTATCTCTTAATCCAATTATCTCACTTTTTCAATTTTTTATATATATTTTTTAGTTTTGACCATAACCATAAAGTCATCCTTAAGTATCTTTTATTTGATGTCTGCACCAAATGAAAAATATATCACAATTGACAAAGTTCGCAGTTGAAATCCATTTTAAATTTTCACTTAACACACCACCGAATAAGTATATTTCAATTACTCTTTCTCAATTAATCTCAATTTCAAAATCTTTAAATCTCATCCTCTAAAATTTCCCCAAAAATTTTCGAAACTCGACAAGTGTTCGATCTCTCATCTATCATTTCACTCTCAACCAACCCCCATTCAAAATCCTCGAAATTTTCGTCCAAATTAATCGATCATTCGACGATCCGCGCATATCATCGATGACCAAAGCGCGTCCAAACGCGCATTTTCGCATACACGCGTGACCCAGATCGGTATGAAATGACCGGAACACGAAAGCCACATTTCTATCGATACCTATTTATGCAGGTGAGTTTGCAACAACCGAACCGGTGTACACACGTACGAGGTCGCGTTTCACCAACATCGGTGGACAATGTGTAACTCGGAAAGGCTATTGAATATTCAGGCGGCACGATCCTCGAGCATCCACGGGGAACACGCCGCCTCGTCGAGTATAACACACGAACGCAATATCTCTTCGTTCGCGTAACCGAGTAGTTACGTCAAGGACCATTTAAAGGAGTACGCCTGTTTTTCCTCTCTTTGTCTTTGCGCGCCGTGTTTAAGTTACGTCACGTTATGCCGTTACTCTCTTCGTTTTTTTTTTTTTTTTATTTTATTTTAGCAAGTAGGGGAATATTCAAAGAATATGAAATGTAACTTTACAGAGAATGGAAATAGTGAGGTAGTGAATGGAAAGGATTTTTGAAGAATGTATAAAATTTATCGTTTACAAGATATTTTTAATTAATAGATTTTCGTGTAGAAACAAAATTAAATATTCAAGAAACACTTTTAAGGGGATAGAATATACGTAATTAATTATCCAATATATTTAAATAAATTCAATTGTAGAATCATCAAATTGTTAAAAACACGAAGAAGAATAATTCAAAACAAATTCAAAGAAAACGAATTTTGAAATAACTTGAAACGAGATCAAGGAAAACAAACTGCTTCTCTCGCTCCACTTTTTAAATACATTTTCCCCGGCGAAAAGATCGAGTTAACTCGATATCTAATCCGATCCATTATCTCGAAACGAGCATCTTCGTCTCGTATTAGAGAATTGGATAGCCGGGAAACGAAGGGCCGTGAATTACGGTTCGCCTTGTTACATAATTAAATGATGGCTTGGCCGACTTGTTGACAAGCCCCGTCGATGTATCGAGTTAGCGACGAATTAAGCCGATCCTCCACGGCTCGATTATGGCTCGGATATCGGCGTTAAGGAGAATCCACGAAGGAGAAGGAGGGAAGGCAAGACCCGGGAGAGGTGGCTTCTGGCCTCGTGGTTCTCGCTCGGCGGTGACGTCGATCGCCCTGTAATTTTACGGGAAATTAATAGTTACTGGTTGCACAGGGATCGTGAAAACCTTGGCGAGTCGATCGCCACCCTCCGTTTTATCCCTCAATTATCGGCAATTCGTCGTTCAC